GTGTGTGTGTGTGTGTGTGTGTGAGGTGTGTGTGTGGTTGACTGATAGTTGCAGATTGTGGACTCTGTGTCTCAGCTCACAGACGTCGCTCTGATACTGGTTCAGGATGTGCTTCTGATTGTGGTCGAGCAACAGCACCACCACCACCAGCAGCAGCACTCGTCCTGCTGAGCAGTGAAGATGGATGGACAGTCGGCCTTTATCATCCCTGGCCTGAAGACTTATGAATACACAGACTGAGCTCTCAGAGCGTGCACTGTGATCAGTCATATCAGCAGGAGCTGAAATACACTCCCAATGAGCAGCATCACAGGGCTCACTCCTAACTCCAGCTCATTGTTGATCTCACATTATTTGGCTGTAGAAGCGTGAGGTCAGCATGACTTTAACAAACAACAAATGATAAAATGTGTTTTTGTGCTTCCAGAGATGAGGAAGTGTAACAAAGAAAACACAGGGCAAACTTAAGAGTTCATTCTTACAAAAAGTCATTTTAATTTTACTTTCTGTAGACAAAATCAATTAAAAAACTATTTTCAGTCTAAACCCTGAGTACAGCCTGGAGGCTTCTGGCATCCAGATGTTATACACAGACAGATGTGGTCTCTGTGACATAAACAACAAAGCTTCTGGACTTGTGGCAACCACCATGTTGTTTTTCATTTGTTTTTTTTTTTGTTTTTTTGGAGCCAGAAGTGACAAATGCTAAAATATCACTTAATGCTGGGTCACTTAGGTCACTTGGTTAGACCAGACCAGGGGTCGGCAACCCTAGGCACGCGTGCCAACGAAGGGTTAACTAATGGCACGACCATAGCTGGACTGGCCATCGGGCATACCGGGCATTTGTTCAGTGGCCCGGTGACTTTTTTTTTCTTTGCAACGGTATAAACAAGGAAAGGTGGTGGATTGGCCAGATCCTGGCCTGTGTGTAAAAATAACTCAGTTGTTTGGTGCTGGCTTTGGCGGAGCTTCCACAGATTCAGTAAAATTAACAAGTGGTGGAGGCCAGCAGGTGGATGAGGGAGAGGGGAGGCAGGAGGAGGAGAGACCCGAGGCGGCCGCCGGTCCGAGTGTCAGGTGAACTGAACTTC